GAGTGTTTCGGTTAGGTTCTTGGTGGAGCAGGCCAGGATGTCAATGTAGTAACCCAACTGTCCTCCGAGCTCTACTCGGATATTGATGCCGTTGATGTTTATAGCAATGAGGTATTTCTCAAGGCTATAAGTAGCTCCATGCTGGTTCTTCAATGCCATTATTCGATTATGAAGGTGCACCTGCATTTGCAAATACCGAACCGAGTGAGAAATTAAGAATATGCATGATCATTCAAAATACTTCCCTTGCTAAAATGTTCTCATGGTGAACTAATTTCTGAAAGATAAGAAAATCTCTTGCCTGTAAGCGGGGAAAGAATCCCGGTGTAAGGAACATATGGCTTGAATCATCACACTGAAGATGTCTCCCTGCATAAAAGCAATCAGCACCACCTAATTGCCACTTCTGCGGTTTACCTCTGCCTTCTTCGAGAATCGACGGAATCAATAGCAGAGAATTGGGATCCGACGGGTCTTGTTCATAGCATAGTTCAAGCTTCATCATCATTTTAATAAGGTCATTGGCCTCCAAGTTCTCAAACACCTTTGAACCCATTCCGGGAATCTGACTATGCAAACCTCCTCTTAGAATCTTCTCCAATTCTTTCCGGCTGATGAATCCATTCTCGGCCGAGCTTTGCCTTCTAACCTCTAACTTTATCAGTTGACTCAGCACTTCACCACAAAACCATTCACAATCCAATATTAGGAAGCCTAATTCATCAAAATATATCACCTCGCCGATATGATGGAGACAAGTAGCAACGGCCCTCCTCCGCATTTCGATTTTCTCCTTATTATCATGTCGAGATCGAATCCTCAGTGGTGGAACTTTAACTTGGCATAGCTCAGCAAACTCTTTCCACTTCATAGCTGGCTTGTTATAGTTCTCTGATCTCCAGTCTGATAAAATTTGTATAAGATCATTGCAAAGCTGATAAACCCGAGGAACTCTCTGGAGAACAGTTTTGCTTGTTTTTCGAATGTGATGGGTGAGTTTACTGACCGATGCAGATGATCTTGCATCAACAGTAAACACCGTTGGATAGAAATCAACATAGCCATTGAACTTGTCTCTCAATTTTTGTATCAAAGTCACCGTGGTCTGCAAGTTCTGAGATGTTTGATTGACCTTGTCATAGTGAGTGAGGACTACTGCAACATTTGGTAGCATGCACTGCTGGACCGCCCTTTTTGAATTCGAAACGATGAACCTGAGCCAATATTGAAGGTCCTCTTCTATCTCCATTGGAGTCTTCGGTTCTCGGTTACTTGGTTTCCTGAATAAACTGGATATGATGAGGAAAAACGATGCACTCCCATGCCCTGGAAACATGAGATCATGAAGAGAGTAGAACTCATGCTGACCAGCAAGATTCCATATCGATATCTTTGTGTCCTCATCTTTGAAAGTCTTTATCTTCATACCAACTGTTCTAACAGCTTGTTCAACTGGATTTACCAGGGTTTTCACTTGCTCAATGTAGGGAAGCTTGGAAGAAGAGAAATTCTGTGATATTGAATTGCAAAGTGTGGCCTTACCTGCAAAGAACAATTAAAGGAAATGATCATCTTTGATCTCGGCATTAACAAGTTCTTAAAGTAGAAATGTTGAGTGTTGTTAAAACTTACCAGCATACTCTTGGCCACAAAAGAATAACCTGCAGCTCTTGGGCTCGGTAAGTGGCATATCCTTGAGCAGATCATTTTCGGGTTCGGTTTCAGTCTTCCCATTCTGCCCCAATCTTTGATAAATTGCATCTGCTTTCCCTGTATCATGCAGAGGTGTTCTAGCGAGATCAATATCTTCGATCCAAGGATTTATTTGTAGCGTCTCCATTATTGCCTGCAACACCCTGTCCCCTCTAACACCTTTGCAGCCTTGCAAAGACAAGCACCTCAAACTGGCATTCTTCTCTAAGATCTTGAAGATTCGGAAAAAATCATCCGGTCTCATGCTTTGATCGTCGATGATTGCTAGCCGAGTCAAAGTTTCATTGGTGGTTAACATCTGCAGAATTGCTGCAAAACCAGATCTCCCTATCTTTGTTCTACTGCCTCCAAATGTCACCGACCTTAGTGTAATGTTGGCTTGGCATTGCAAAGCAGAGAACCTACTCAACGGGCACAATAGATGCTCGACGCCTATACCACTGAACCGGTTTCCTTCGAGATGCAAGCGTTCCAAATGCCTGTTCTTGAATAGTCCAGCTGCTACATACACAATTCCCTTGTCTTTAAGGCCGGTTTTGGACAAGGTTACCTGTTTCAGGGTTTGGTTCTGCTCCAAAACCCATCGAAATTCCTTTGCCCACCGCGATTTTAGGCGCACTCCGGTCATGTCAAGCGATGTAACCGTTGAATTCATACCGAGAGCACAAGCAACCCTGCAGGCACCTGAAACATCGATCTTGTAAATCCTAAGAGTGCTGTTTTGAGGTACAAACTCAACCACCTTGGAACTTTTGTCTCCACTTTCTCCACTCCATACATGGACTTCCATGGCTCTATTCCTTGCTAAAACAGCGGATATAAGGGGTGTCGCTGTGATCGAGCTCGAGTCGAAAATCGTCAAAAGTTTCAGCATCGAGTTAGCTTCAATCATCTTTGAAAGCTCCTCAGCACCTTTCGATCCAATCGAGTCTTCCCATATCTGTAACTCTTCCAAGCTATCATTCACCTTAAGAGCAAAAGCAAGTAATGTAGCACCAACAGTCCCAATATGTGATTCAGAAAACATAACCTCTTTGATAGCTCCATTTCTCTTCAAAATATCGGAAAACTCCGATAAACATTCTTCATCGAAGCTGTTCCTCCGGAACACGAGTTGCTTGATGTTAAAGTTACTATCCAACAACTCCCCAAGGTTTTGCACTTGTTGCAATTCCCATTCAACACAGTGAAATTCCAAGTTCCTGAGGGACGACAAGGTGCTTTTGGCTGGTCCTAGCATTAATAGAATGAGGGAGAAGTAGTCAAGGCAATCTGCAGAAATGTTTATGTTCATGGAGTTTTCGGTTTCTTGATAACAACCCGAAACAGGTTGAGAAAGGTAGAAGGAAATGCTGTGTAGGTTAAGGCTTTCGGTTTCGAATGCTTGAAGAACCCATTGGAGATCTCTGAACTTCTGGTTTGATGCCATTGCCAATGTAGAACTTTCACCAACAACAAAGAATCAAAGATAGCAGAACTTGTTTATCTGCAGGAAAAAAACAACTTTATTGATAATGAAGCTTGTTTGATAGGGTAATATGTTACAGTACATTTTGAATTTGATGCAATTTTTTGCTATATTCTATCCTTCATACCAAAGTTATTCCTTACGTTTAAGGGTAAAGATAATGAGATTATTTTAATAAAAAAAAGTATCTTTGCACCTTTTTTCCTAAAAATTCTAATCCATCTCTCCACTTCATTCTGGTTCGTTTATCAAGTAATTTGCAAGGTGGTGCTTCTTACAGGTGTAAACGGGGGCCTAACCTTTTTGACTCTTTTATATGAAAAAATGAGCTTTTCTTACTCTCTCTTGCTTTTCATCAAAGAGGACGGAAAATCCTATAAAGAAATGAAAAAAAGAACAGGCTAGCTGACAAATTAGCCTGTAATCCGGAGAGGGAGGATAGGGTAGTTCTGCTGTACTTCAGTTTTAATATATAAATATTAATATTTTTAATAAAATGTAATTTAAAATATTATTTTTTATTAAAAATATTAATTTTATTAACTTATTTCTGGAAGTATCTAATATTTTTATAGAAAAAAACAATATTTTAAATAGTAATTTATCGAAAATATTAAATATTTTGATAAAAAAAAATAATATTTTAGATAATATTTTGTTAAAAATATTAAAAAATATTAAAATTTTTAATAACATTTTTTTAATTGTATATTAAAGCTATCGTAGCTGAGACATCCTAAAGGACAAAAGACAATCATTTTTTTTTGGGGAGTTCTACATTGCAGCAGTTTAATATACGATTAAAAAAATGTGTTATCGATTTTGTTATTATTTTAAATAATAATATCGGTAAAAAATATCAAAAATATTATTAATTTGACTGGTAATGTTGTTATTATCAATTATCGAAATAGATAATCGTGGTAGAAAAATTCGGTAAAAAAATAATATTTTCGATAGAGCGATACGTAAGACATTATTTTTGACCGGATTATTTTAGGTATTGAAGACATGTTTGGACAACCTCTAGAGATTTTTAAATGATGAGTCTAAATCTGTTGAGATTAACTATAGTTTTATCCATCCTGCAAACATACCCCAGTTCAGCCGGTGAATCATGGTCCTTCCTGTGCTTAAAGTTCTTATCTTTGAAAAATTCATAGCTAAATACCTCGAGGGATGTGCAATTTGCCAACATGAACATGTGAATTTTTCGGTGCAATCAGGGCCGTTGAATTTTCTGCAGTGTTTAGACCCCAGTAGATGGGGTCTAGGTAGATATCGAAATTCGATTTTTATTTTGTTTAATTATTCATTTTATCATCTTATTTGTGATCATTTTATAAGAAATTTATGTATAAATTTTTTGTTCTTAATATGTGTCCATACTGATCAAGTACATGTTATTTTCATGTATGCAAAATAATTTGCTCCTTTTCATCATCAAAAGAGTTCTTCTCTCTCTGTCGCGTATCATTTTGAGGCTTATTCCACAGATGATTTTGCAAAGCTGATATTATCTTTTCTGGTAAACTTTAAGTGGAAAATGGGAACCACAGACAGTGAATTAGGTAGTGGCAGTCTCCTAAAATCCATATAACAAAAAGCTTACCAACACGCCCTGAGAGGACCACAATATCAGCATTATCATGCATTATGAACAGTCCAAACTTCGAACATAGAGGTACATTTACAGTCATTGTAATCAAGCGTGCTTGCAGAAGATCGAGGAAACGATGAACGTCAAACGCGACCGACGGGGAGAGTAGTGGCAAAAGCAAAGTGTTATTTAACTATACTGCTAGTAAAGCTGTGTTTATGTATCGAAACAGAATGTTTTGTTATTTTATAGGGAAAACTCGATATCCCTCTAATGTTTCACACTAGTAAACAATCTGAGAGAAAAACAATCCCATATAATCTGACAAAGAACCAGCAACTCTTCCAGGGCATTACAAATTTAAAAAGAAAGATGGGAAAAATAAATACCCTATGGTTTGATGTACCGCTGAAGATGTCCGGTACATTAGTTGGAACCCGATCTTCCGGAGTATATATATCCCGCAATCTGATTGTACATCTCACTTGAATGCCAAGAAAACAAAATAAAAACGAATCAAATATCAAACCTTACGGAAAACCTCCTGTAACTGCTCGCTCTGAATGTGTATATTTCAAATCAATAACCCTCATTAGTGTCATAAGTTCAATTTCCTTGCAAGCTGACATTGTAAAATGACAGTTGTATCCAATTCGCAAATCCTTGGCCCCTTTTTGCAAATCTATTCACCCTACATCATAACTTCTTATGCCCGAATAACAGATAGTCTAGGCAGCGATTCCTGGATAAGAAACAAAGAGACGATTCACCTCTCGAGCCTCAACATATAAGCGTAAATAAAATGGTCGGTCTTATGACGTTAATATAATATTTAGATAATTGAATTTCAGGACTGCTTAAAGAGAATATTACCTCTATTGGACTGTCTACTTGCAACACTGTAACTTCCAGCATAATCCTCGGAGGATATTGCAGTAACATTTGAGGAAACGTTGCCAAGCCCGTAACTGAACGAGCTAGGACCATCCAAGTCGGGAGCTGTGGACTGCCAAGCTGAATCACCATAAACTGAACCACTATGGTAAAGATCCCCATAAGACCCCTTAAAATTACCGGTTGGTCCAGAAAAAGATGATGTCGGAGCAGCAACAGTGCCACTGTTTCTTCCGTATCCTCCCCCTCCTAAACCGTGGTTGTCATCAGTACTCCCGTAACCGGCAGTCCCACCGGTATAGCCAGAAGCATTGCCTCCACTTTGCACAGAAGCAGCAGCACTCCAATTACCCCCACTACTTCCTAAAGGACCAACACTCCCCCTTCCAGTCCCCAAGAAACCACTAGGGTCGGAAGCGTTTGTGGCATTTGTAAGGCCTCCATTTCCCCAGATATCCCGAGTAGCAGAATTAGAATCGTTTCTTCCACTTCCACTTCCAACACCATATCCAATAGGAGTGTTATACCTGTTCGAAATCCCACCATAATAGGGGCTAATTATCCGCCCATATCCTAGACTATTGCCAAAGTTGGAACTCCCACCATAGTCTGGGCTCATTCCCGGATCCATATCCATACCTAATCCATATCCAGTGGTACTAAATTGAGGAAATCCGCTACGAACAGTAGGAAGAGGATTAAAGCTACCATCCATCCTAACACCAAAGTCCGAAAGTGGGCTACGATTATATCCCTGAGCATAACTATTGAGGAAATTGGCAACCCTACTCAAACCATAATTATATCCAATCACAGGGTTGCGGGTGGGGCCAGGTGATAGTTCTTTAGGAACTGCCCTCTTGACCTCCACCAATTTCCCTTTGAGTTCATGAAATGTTTTGTGCAGAACTCTATCTACTGCTTCCTCTGAATCATAAGTGATGAAGCCAAATCCTCTTGGCCTTTGTGTATTATGATCATACATCACCACAACATCTGTAATTGTACCAAACTGATCAAAGTAGTTCTTAAAGTCACTCTCGGTGACCGATGAGGCTAAACCTCCGACAAAAATCTTTTTGGTGCGTCCAGGAACATGAGAACCAGTGATGCCACTCATATTCCGGTTTAAAATGTTCTGATCATCCCTAGGAACAGCCTTCTTTGCCTCAACCTGAAAATTGATCAAACAATTGCATCACATTCTCTATCCCAGTCTAGCCATTGGTTACAAATTCTCTTGAACAAATTATATTGGTACAGTTTTTCTAGTAGTATATTCGAATGGGGTAGAACATGCAAAATCCCAATTGAATCTGCAATGTACAAAGGATAAACATAATCAAGAAGGCTCTTACCATGCGACCATCGATCATATGTTTATCAGTAATTACTCTCTCAGCAACAGCAGGATCAGCAAAGACAATGAAACCGAAACCACGGGCACGACCTGTAAATCGGTCTCTCATGATAATTGCCTCCACCACTTCTCCAAATTTCCCGAAATACTCCTTGAGACGTTCCTCATCGGTGTCCCAAGATATCCCACCAATGAAGAGTTTACCAAGATCTGATTCCATCTTATCTGCAATCACCATCATCAACCACCAATTTCAGTCCCATGAGGAAAAATCTAAACCTTTTCTTTCAAAACCAAGTATCACAATTGGATTCAAAGATCACAAGTTGAAATTCAATCAGAATACTAACACCAATTCAATGTATGGAACTCTCTTCCACAAGTTAAAAAGCCAATACCAAATCATCCAATTATACTCAGCAGCTAAAAAGGATCCATCCTTTAGGAAAAGTGAAGCAAAACAGATCAAAATGTGAACAATAACAACAACCAAACAAGGATATTAGAAGGAAGAAAAAAACATACCTTTTTGAATTACAAACAGAATCTGATCAAAAACAGAGTTGATGATTGTGGAATCCAATCTAGAATCATCTGGAAACTTCATGCACCAATCAGAAAACAACCCAAGAATCCTGACATTAAAAAGAGTTGAAATTTAAAAGATGTGGATCAAGACAAAAGAAAAGTCTAGAGAAAGGCCAGGAAGCAAAGAACAGAAAAGAGATAAAATCTACCATCTTGTAAATGACCCAGATGATAAAATGGGAAGAAATTTAAGATCTGAGACGATAAATGATTACAATCGAAACAAAAGAGGAGGTTTTTCTGTTCATTTTTTCTTAAATAAAGAAGAAGAAGAAGCTTTTTTCCTCCTCCTCTCTATCTCAATCCTCTGTTTCTTTTCTATATCTTTCTTGGCTATTACACTCCTACAGATTAAATCAAAAGCAATGGATTTGAGGGAAGGGGTAGAGGGAGAAAGAGAGAATATATATATGGAGAGATATTGATAGCAAATCCTCTGATGTAAGAATATTTGGAGCAGCTTAAAGAGAGATGACAGTGGAAGTTGATGTCTTATTATTACTATTTCTTTTTGTAATAAAATTTCAATATATAAAAAAAGATCTTATTACAGCTTAACAATATCCATATTAACATAACTATTCTCTGCTTGGATGCAATGCTAGAGCCAAATCCAGCTTCAACTTTGACACCCTTTTAATAATTTAATATTTTTTTAAAAAGAATTTATGTATTTACAGACATGTTTGATCAAAAGTTTGGCATGCTGTTGTTGTCCAAAATTCATCGTGTTAGAATGAACCTTATGGTATATATTGAGTCTGGTTGGCCTGAGTTGAGACCACACACACAACTAGTGGAGTTTAATGTCTATTATTTTATATTTTATTTTGTTCCTAAAAGAACACAATAAAGGATTAGAAAACATCATGGCAATCATCATGTCTTGCTATGTAGACTGTTTGATATCTCCAAAAGTTGAAACCTTTTCAAATAGTAACATTGAGGATTGAGAAACTACAATTCATCCCATGCTATGTCTGTTTAGGACATTCAAATTTGATTTTTTTTTTTTATAAATATATGTATATGATATTTAATATCATTTTGGTAGGTTGGGTGTGTGAAGTGCATAGATTAGTTTTGCGTTATTCTAATATTGGTTCAACAACTTTATGCAGTTAAGATTGGTGTAAATGTTATTCGTGTATAGCAGAAAGCTCCAATGTGTCTAATTTAAGATTAGATATTGGTTTATAGTTAAGATATTTTGGGACATAATTTAATGATTTGGCGTTTGGCCTGCAGCTTTTAAACATTGTACGAGTGAACAAGCAATGTAAGAAAACTATGCAAGGTCCGAGATCCCATTAGATTTTATTGGAAATTTAAATTGGCTTGTTAGAATTAAAATATAGGTTAAATTCCATCATTCATACATCTATTGTGTATAAGTTGGAGACTTAGATATTGTAACTAATTTGGTCAAGTTTATTTTTTTTTAATATTTTTTAAATTTTAGTCTCGATTCAAATAATACAAGATAATATGATTAACTTACATATATTTTAAAAAATCAAAATGAATAACAAGAGTTAAATCTACAACTTACTCATAATACTATGACTAATAACGTAATTTAACTAAGTATATTTTACGATTATTATCTAGGTTATGATTGAAATTTTAAAATTTGAAAACTATATGAATTAAAAATGATCAAATTATAAAGATTAAATCCATAACTTTCATATAGTACAAGGACTAATAAAATTTTTGACAAAAAGTATAATGTTGGCAATAACTTCCAAACCAAGTTGTACCATTACAGCAGACTGATGATCCCAAATGGCCAAATCCCATTTTCTACCCATACATACATGCATACATGCATACATGCATACATGCATACATGCATACATGCAACTGTTTCACATGTTTTTCTGCCTGAAAGAACTGTACATAGGAAATGTCTTTGGTGAGAAAAAGCTACTTGCAACCATGTATTTGGGTACGTATATTCATTTTTTTCCTGAAGTTTTTTTTTTTTTGCATACATAAACTTTTTTGTTTGGACTAAGCAGAAAAGAGATGATCTTGGAATGGTTTCTGTCTGTGTTAATGAAAGAGATGTATTTCAATCACCAAGGGTTAGCAGGTAACTTTAAGACAAAAAAAGAAAAAGAGACAAGGAAACAACAGACAAGACAAGTACTTGTAAAGTTTAGCTAGCTAGTCTTATTTAGCTTAACATGAAAGTTCTGCAATGGTACTTAGTCTTATTTCCTCTAAAAACATATTGAAATGTCCACTAATAATTTGATCCTGGAGTGTCCTCCCATGTCTCAGCTATGACAATATGAAGCATACAGCAATCCGGGTGGCCGGATACAGAAGACGACAGAGACAGACGAAATTGAACGATCTTTAGATTTCCATGAGGGATGCTTTCCCGGTTATCGGAACTCTGGTATATGAATTCTAATTCTCCTTGTAATTCCTCTTGCTACTGTCAGTCTAAACCTCCATGGAAATTCGTTTTTACCCTCGATGTAGTCTGCAGGTTAACAAAAACAGACTCAATTTCTCGTGTTTTTTGCGAAAGAATAACGCTATGATGTTGTATTTGAGGTGTTGTGTATGCACATTCTGGCATTCATGCTTGCTGAAAGTTGAAAATCTTACCTTCGAGCAAGTTTTGGTAGTAGGCTCCCATTGCTTTGGTACTTGTAGAACAGTAATTTTTCGTCGTTAGTACAACGGTAACAACAGGATGAAGAATATTTTGATGCTTTAGAGAACTCGTGTTTGAGCAGTTATGTTTGTACTTTACAGGATGTGTACGTATGTTAATAACTATGAAAAATTTTAAACATATATTACCTTATAATCAGTTTAGAGTATTAAAAGAGAGATCACCGAGTAAAATTACGGAACATCCTAATAACCAAAACCTGATAGCCTAATTTGTTTTTTTTTCATTAAGCAAACAACATATATATTTATATAGGATAAAATTATCAAAGAAAAGCACTCACAAACTTTGACATATCATCAAATCTGCAACTTTTTCTTTGAAATGGAAAACCAGAGCGGGCCAGCCAGATCAGTGCCAGGCTATAGCAATAATTTCCCGACAAATTTGAGTGTGACAGCAACTACATAACAAAAGGTCTCTTTATCAACCATCTTCATATAATATAATATGTTTTCTCAGCTCCATTTGTCATTGCCAAGAGCCACTTTAAGTTGGCTAATCTTCAAGAACATGCCCATTAATTCAGTCCTTTGAATGTATCTTTCCTTTTAGTTATATATATTTGATTTGACTTTGCTTCAAATACAGCCTAAACATCATTTAGTCTTTATCTAAGTTTGACAAAAAAAACATAAAATATTGAGGAATTCATGCACAACAAACCCATAGTTCACACTCATTTTTCTCTCATTCAAACTTAATGTATGTTTTTGAAACCATATGTACAAATTAAACTAGTTTAATCCAATTAACCTACTGGAAAAAGAATTATTTAAAGTAAAACAACCATTGTGTTAATACAAAATAAAGAATCTATACCTAATTACTATTGATCATTTTCATCATCATCAACAACTTCGTCGAAAAACGGATCCTTGAGCAGCTCCGCCGCTGCAGGTCTTTCACCGGGCTGAGCAATGCATCTCTCAATGAATGCCTTCACATCGTTATCTCTAACCTTGTTCAAGGCTTGAGGCCTCATCCCACTTGACACTTTCTTGTAAATTTTGGCCACATTGTCACACTCACTATAGGGGATTTCCAAGGTCACCATCTCAAGCACGCACATGCCGAATGAATATATATCAACGAGTTCAGTGTAATGTTCATCGTATAACTCTGGCGCCATGAATTCTGGTGTCCCGAGAATCGAATGCGCTGAATGGTTCTTTCCCACTATGGCAGCCAACCCCAAATCACCAATCTTAACCTGTTGAAGGATTAATAACTAATGTCATTCATCAAAATCCAAAGTGACAAGGGAGAATTGTGTTCTTCTTTCTTTTTCCTAGACTTTTCCTAGTGACCAAACACGCAAAAGAAAGAAACAAAATGAAAAGAATAATGAACTATATATAACCAGAAAAGCATACCTGGCCAGTATTTCCATTAACAAAAACATTGCTGCAATTAAGATCTCTGTGAATGATACAAGGGTCATGTGAATGCAAATAGTTCAAGCCTTTCAAAATCTGCTTTGACCACTTCTTCAACGCCTTCATTGAAACTTGCCTATGTTTCTTCCTGTACTCCCTCAAATTCCCAGAAGTACACACTTCGGTTATGAAATTGAGGGTGTTATGTTCCTCGTCGCGCCAAACGTTGTACAATGAGATTATGTTGTTGTTGGCCAATGATCTTAACAGCCGGACCTCCGAATAAAGCCTTTCGATCATCGATGGATCGTCGGAGAAATTTCTTAGCTTGACTTGGTTCCATGCAACTTCAATGCCTTCTTCTTGATCAAAGGCACGGTAAACCTTTTTAACTGCCCCGCAGCCTAGAAGCTCCGTGTAACGACCATAACGACCGGTCGGATCGACCTCCACAAAGGGCTCGGAGTCCTTGTCGGATTGGTCTGGATTGACGGTAGGCATCTGCTCACGATAATAATCACGCAATAAACGTATAAGTGATCAAAGAAGTTAAAAGAAACTTTTGTTTCGCCATGGATCAAAGTTTAAGAACTAAAACAATGACAAATAGTGAGGAAACTTGAACCGAAAAAATGAAAAATCTAGAGTAAAAACCCCATAAAAATATGAAAAGCTTGCAGAAGATCTCAATATAAAGAGAAAATTCTTAAAAACAACAGATAACCCATCAAGCCTATGAAAGTTTTATAATCGAAAGTTAATATTTTTAAGCAGAAAGATAAAGATAGAGAGAGAGAATGGTAAAGAAGAAGAAGAAGAAAGGTTTATGGAGATCTCACCATAAAAATATATATATGAGAAGCAGAAACTTAATCTGCAACAAAATCGTACAACGGAGTAGAATGGAACAGCCATAAGGCGGCTTTCAAGGTTAGCATTTATAGGAATGATTCCTATTAGGTTAAGAAAATAACGTTAATTAATTTTGTTCAAGTGAAATTCTTTTATCGGTCCTATATTTTATATAAATTATAAATTTAATATTTATACTTTAATTTAATCTTTGTATTAGATTCAAATGGTTTCTCTTGACCTAACTACAAAGATGATGATTCGATTTTTTTCCTACTCTTGAATATTATTTAGAATGATCGATAAATAAATAAAAAGTTTATTTGAACTTATTATTTTAATTGATATTTTCTTTTATCGTTATATATTTCATTTAACCTTTTCATGCATACAATAATTAGTTATTTTGATTTTTTACTAACAGATAATCTGTATTTTCTAAAATTTAAAAATTTGATCTTGACTCAAACAATTCTTATAAAATCTGTTAATTTAAATTATGTTATATTATACATTAATTTTAAATTAACTTATAATATCTAATTTGATGGGTTTAAATTCGTAGAATTTAATAATGTTATTATCTTTATA